TGCGAGGTAGTAATCTCGCGGAAGGAGGCGGCGGAGAGGGCCCGGGAGGACGACCTCCACTCGGACCCGATCCGCCGCCGGCGAACCGGGCGGCGGAGGCCCGCCTACCACAGCCTCATGCCGCCCTGAGTGTGGCCGCGGGTGGACGGGGTGGGTTTCCCCTCCACCCGCATTAGTTGGCCAGCCGCGAGGGGGCGGCGTCCGCGTGTGCCGGACGTCGCCTAAAAAGAGAGGAACAATATCGAGACGGAGCCCGCACCAGGAGCGGGCTGGCGCTAGGAGGGGTCCGGATGTCTTAACAACAGCTGTTCCCGGATCCCTCCTGTTACAGGCGCAGAGTGGCACACCGTGTGGTTTTAGTCGGTCCGAGTCCGACACACCACCCCGCCGCAAACCCCGGAGGGGTGACGGTCCGAGGGGATTTCCACACGTTAAAAAAAAAAAAAAAAAAGGGTTTGTATCAAGTTTTCCTGCACTTTTCAGTGCTGTTGTTCTGCGTAGTTTGATCCCTTGGTCGGCTCTTACGACACCCGCGAGTTGCATAGGGGTAGTGACACCCCGAATTCTTAACTCGTCACCGCCACAAGGCTTAACAACGGTTATGAGGACTATCCGAGAGGATAGTCCTAATAGCCGTTGTTAAGCCTTGTTGTCATTCATAACCGTACACATCAGCGGCTTAAAATCACTTAATTAATGTTGTTTAATATGCTGAATTTTAGCTGACCTTTGTGCTGGGATCTAAATTTCACATACACTACTCACATCACCATACACAACATATATAAACTAGACATTAATCGACACACACACACACACAAAGCCACAAGAAATTGCACAATTTCTCAACTCAAATTAAAACACGTGCTACACCGGTTTCCACCATTCCTGAGGGTTCAGGACTGTATTATCCCTAACACAGGCTATTATGTAGCCTAGCTGGGAAAACAGCACTCAACCACGATATTATTGTAGACTTCTAATTGTAACACAAACTCATCATAATAAATGTAAAATTGTGTAAACCTACAATCTCATTTATACAATAAAAAAGTTATTATTATTATTAATTAGAGATGTACTGAACCAGTCGAGTGAAACAGGCACAAGTACTATTCTCTTACTTAACACAGTCCTTAATTACATGTTAACATTAATTTAATAACAAAATTATAATTACACTTAACAACACCGTTTTGATAGAAACTTTAAGTATGTACAAAAGACTAGGTAACTATTATATATGCTCGCGAAGGAGACATCGGAGCGGGACCGGGAGAGGTTTAAAACAGGCCCGGGAACGGGGCTAGGTACCGCAGGCGACTCAGGCGCCGGAGGTCGCAGAACGACCTCCGTCCTCCATAAGCGCAGGCCTGGGGGTGACAGGTGAGCCATCTGTCACCCCCAGCAGAAGCAGGCCGGGGTGGCGGCGAGCGCGTTGCGAAGCGCGCTCGCTTCCAGAGAACAGAGGGAACATGGGGTTCCCACACGGGGGGGGGGGTCGTCTACTCGTCTGTAGATGGCCCGAGGTATGTCGGGGCACCAGGAACTTCCTTTCTAATGTATACCTGGTTCCCCGGCTATTAGTACCCGAAACGGCGTGCGGTTTTAGTCGGTTCGAGTCCGACATGCCACCGATACCGGTGGTATCCGAGGGGATTTCCGCACGGAAAAAAAAAGGTAACTATTATATGGGTATTTATTGATAATTTTAAAATATGTGAGCAGGGTGACAGTGGAGTGATCCACTCACAGTCACCCACATCCAGTCGGCAATCCCGTGCTCTACTCACCCAAGTTTAATAGACCTATTGAATCCAATGACTATTAATCTATTTATCAACACAAACTAGAAATCTTTGTGGTCAAATTACGACCATAGCTTAAGTTAAAATTTTATTTACTTATTTCATTGGCTCCTATAACTGTCACTGTCATTTTTTAGACTTACGTACTAAGACAGTTCAACGTACATGTAGCACATATACGAGTATCTACTAGACGCGTGTAGCTTAATGTAGCCGTTTTCAACAAACTTTTTTAATTCAATGTTTGTGTTTCTTTTTTTAAATTGTAGCTTTATTTATTGCATAATGATTTAGTTAAAAGTACATGTACAAGAATTATTTTCATATATCAATTAATTTAAAAAATAAGTGTCTGGTGTGTTTCACCAAAAATCAATTATTTGACAGTCTGTATATTTCATAAGACTAATCTTCTAAACGGCGGATTCTCATGAGACTTTAATTAATCAGCAGCGGATATTATTAGGAATGGCTTAGGTTATTTTCATTTTGGAAAAATAAATAGCATGTAAATATAAGTAAGCGAAACAGAAAACTGGTGTTAAGCAATTCATCCCCTCTTGATCATCTGGGGGGACTAAAAGGTGACTCTTGAGTTGTAGGTGTCCATGGACGGCGGTAGTCACTTACCATCAGGTGACCCGTCTGCTCGTTTGCCCTCCATTACCATGAAAAAGTGAAAGAAGAAGTATGCTATTCAACCATTATCATTTAACTTTTGAATAATTAAAATAATTTGACCAATTATCCTGATCAGGATGCCACGCGTAAAGATACGGTAGTGTCTTTTGCCACGTACTAATGCGTGTGCTGTAACATATGTGATAAACTTACTTGATACTTTTAAGTCCTAATAAGAAAATAATCATCATTAATGACTAAAAATTTAAAAATAAATTACAGTTAAAAATAAATTAAAAAACATTCTTTTGTAGCTAGCCGAAATGGATGTTTTCAAGGTATTTTATAATATAATAACTTTACTTTTACCAATACTTGTCAGTAAAGTATTTTTAAACCATTGAGATCTAGCACCTATAAGTTCAAAAACAAAACCTGATTTTTGTTTTTGAACTTATAGAAAATTATATCCTACTTTTTAGTCCTGCTAGCTACAAAAGCGTATCTTTTTAATAGTTTTTTTTTAAACTATTATTTTTATTTTCTTTTTAAATGCGGATATCCCCTAGGATACCACCCACCGGAAGACCGATGACCGGTGACTAGATACGTGAGCTGTTCCAAAGGTTAAATATAGCTTTCTAAAATTATAAATAAAATTGAAAATATTCCCCTCTAATCACAATGCACTAATGCATTCGGTTGAACCAGCTTTCGATACATTTAGAAAATGTATCTTGCGGGAAGTCAGAAAATAATCGTTGAAATTTTTTGACGGCCTGTTCTGCAGGGATGATCTTAGTGAAAAAGAGAAAAAAAAACTTACTATTCACTAGTAACCGTTCTACGATCTTTGAATTAAAATATGACATATTAAAATTAATAGAAGATTGTCTCTACAAAATATATACATTAATTTCAATAATTGTTTTACCAATGCGTACCACGAAAACATTTTTTACTATACCAAGAACTAAAACTATTAAACTAAATAGTACCAAGTGGACTACACTTGTTCTACAGATATTGAAAACAAGGATATATGTATTGAGACGCTTGTCTGTAGTTTAAGTCCGTGTGACTGTTTAATTTTACAAACCATTTTAATTTACCTGTTCTATTTTACTAATAAATAACTATTTGGATTTATAAATTATAATTAGTAATATTAACTTTATCATTCAATTTATCTAGTATTATACATGGTGGAAAGAACTAAACCTGTAAAAGTCTGATTGGGAATAGTTCCTTAAAAAATGTAATTTCAATTAATTTAAGAAAAATTTAAGGAATACGATATCACGAGACAAATCATAAAATATAATACCCATGTTTCTATGCCTTAACACGATTAACAAGTCGCCAATTTTTTATATCACAACGACAAAAATGATTCACGGACGCTACAAGAATAATAAATACCTTATTTTAAAAACTGACTAAGCTGTAAACTATGAGGATTTGTTATTATTTGTTCAAATGAAACAAAACTGGATGAACCGCAGTACGAGTTGATTTTATAGAGCCACTTTTTTATTGAACTGACCGTGGACCATACAAAAACTCTTTAAAACCTATGTTCCAGAAAGTCTAAAATGTGTTTTCTTTTTTGTGTTTTTCGTTTGGATATCTATTTTATAGCCTGCCATTTAAATTGCTATAAATAAAATGAGATGAATTTAAATAATCAAAAATCATTGTTTTCAATTTCAGTATATAATATTTTTTCCAAAGCAATTAAATAACACTACTAATACATAACGCACATTCATTATCAAATATTTCTCGTGATGAATTTTTACATTTTTATTTTTATATCACAACAGTAGATTTAATAAATATACCAATACAATTATTTTGCCGATGCAACAATCGTGTTTCCTTAAATTTTAAATTTAATATGTAAAAAAAAATGTTTTTGTGCTTAAAACTGCACAATATATAGCATAAATACTGTTATGCACCAGCTGTAAACTAACATCAACGGTCAATCAAACAAAAATGGAACAAAGCTTCGGACACAGTGTTAAGGCATTTTACCTCACGGGCATATTACCTTTACGTGTATAAAAATCGTTAAATAAAAAAAAATGTCTTATCTATGTCATTAATCACAGTAATGGAAAGTCAAAACAAAGAGATAATTTACTAAACTAATTAGGATGATAAAAGATTTACGTTTCTACTTAGTTCAATGTTATAAGGGCACACACTTCTGCCGCACACGTATCGTTATCACGTCTCTCGCTAAAATCACTCACACCGGCTTAAAGTCGGAGGCTTCGCCGCCGAAATACACCCACACTTATGCATGGTGCTACACCTATATGCCAAATATGTTGCGGTATCCGACGTTAACGTAAGAGGTAATATAAGAGGCGCATCTTCGACTTTGCACATTTTAGTTTTATAAGCCGGTCGTTGGAGAGCGGGTCATGTTAGCGAATTTTAGCAGAATACATGCTTGATCGGCGTTAGCATAGCTTTGTGTTCTCGGGACTGAGATCGTCAAACGTAGCCTGCTTGTTAACCTCGTCCACCGTTAGGGCCTAAAGGGCCATCTCCCAGGCCATGGGGCCGGGACATTTATTTTATTTTTTGGTAAGTTTAAATCATCTAAAATTTATATATACATATTAAAACTATTTCCCTATTATCGAGAATTCATAAATTGTTAAATTATTATTTTAAATTCATTCATGCGTGTTTAATATTTTCTCTATTATTTTAGATAATTTCTTTGTTGTTGTTCTTTCTTTTAACAACATAAGATTGAAAAATTTGTTAGTTTTTTTTTACAAACTTTAGGGTTTATTTTTATAACACAATATGCCAAACAAGTTAATGTTATATTCTATGCATATTTTGTAACATACCTTTTTTTATATTTCTTAAAAGATATCGAAATAAACATTGACCTGGTATAGCATTTTCTACAAGCCGGACATTGGACTTTTTAGATAACATTGATTTCAATGACATTTACTTGATGTTAAACAAAAACAGGCTTTAATCTTAAAGAAAGTAAAAATTTAAAATAATAAATGAAAAAACTTAACAGTGATAGTTTAAAGTTATACTGGTCAATGAAATAAAACAAGACATTTAAAACGTCAAACTTCAACTGCTACGCGATCTCTAGTAATAATAAAAGCCGTTCGATTTTAGATTCAAGAACATCCACAATAAACAACAATAAACAACAATAAACATATTTAGCTGCTACCTCACAGCTGTACCATCACAGTGTAGGTTTATAAAATATAATAGTCACACAATCAAATTACAATCTATGAATAAATATTACCGTTGAAAAACAACTTTATTTGTATTTAACGGAAACTGTGCAAACTTTGAGAACGAATAAACTAATATTTGCAAAAAATTAGCTGAGTATAAACTAAAGCTTTTTTCAACGAGTTACCAATGATACATTGAAATAAACCTGATATAGATAAGTAATTATTAAATTTTATATCTAATTAATCATTTAAATTGGTATTCCAATAGTTTAATAATAAATAGATTAAAATCGTACACAAGTTTTGTATTGAAAATATGTTATTAATTTCCTGTTAGACTATATTAACGAATGTCTCACTTTTGTGTATTAAACTAATGGCTTTCTAAGCAATTATACATATGTAAATCTAACCGAAAAACAATAAAAATATCGTTAAAAATAAGAGAATAATTGTTATTAGTAGTATGCCGATTGTTCTTTTTAGCAATATAGATAAATGTAACTCGAGTTTTTTATCTGAATATAAAAAACGATACGCACGAGTGATATCTTACCTTTCGCAAGGACCGACGGGGTTAATATACATATTAGTAGCATTAAGAAGCAAGGCTTTCAAATACCATACAAAACAATCATTTCCCTAATCGTTCTAGGGTTTAGAGTACCCTTAAGGATTCTAAAACCTATCAAAGAAAGTCAATCGTCTCTAAATTCAATCGAAATAATCCAATCAAACATACTCGTAACATATTGGTAAAGTAATTTTGTACGTAGTGCGTAGTTCCTATGGATATTTCAGGTTCCTAGTTTAGATACCACATACCAAATATAAAAAATTACTATGTGTGAAATTCTGCTACAACACCAATATTTGATATGGTACCGTACCGATGAAAATAATCTTGGAAAATAAACTATAGATATAACTACCTGACCATGACTTAAAATACATCATGTTAACACTTCGTTCATAATCAGCATGACAATTTAGAGGTTTATAGGCTCCAATACGTGATAACACTAGTAATGCCAATTCAGTAATGTACCGGCGCATGATCAAAACAATGCGTATGCTGATAGGGTATTATAAATCAACCTGTATTACATGCGTCAAATCCGGCTTATATGCATATAAATGTCAGTTCCCAAATATTTGTCCTATTTTACAACATGCGTAATAACAGTTTTCCAAAAAACAAACAAACTCCATCATTTCGAGGCAAGAATTTAAATATTTTGTACAAATACAACATGGCATATATTATCTGTAATCTATATTTAATGAAGATCACTTCCATGTACAATATATTAATATTAACGTTCTACAAACTGCTTTACATTAGTACAGTTTTTTTAATTACCCGGTTATATTACTATTTAATAGATATTGTATAACATATTACATTTATTTATTGACAATCCAATGAGCTGCTTATTTAGTACGAGATGCGTTTCAAGTAAAACTATTCGTCTAAAATTTCCATGGCAAGTTACTTCAGCGATATAAATCTGAATCTAGAAGGTAATTAATCGAATATTATCTACTTGTTCTAAGGTTTATCGAACTCTAAAAAAAGATAGAATCTACTATAAGGTCTTAACAGGAAAGGGTTGTGCTATGAATGGAGACGTTAACTATTGCCGTCAGTAACACAGACATAAACATACGTATTTGAAATAGATTGTAGTATAATTTGTGTGGAATTAAAATAAAGCTTTTGAAATAGCTAAATTTAAATAACTTTGTTTTTATATGTCAATATGGTGTAAATAAATTTTTGAACAATTAAAAAGTTTAAGAAAAATTGTATTTCTAATCTAAAAGATACGGCCGAAATTGAAAGGGCTTTATTTTATCAGCATTTTTAACAAGCTTAAGAACGGATTGCGTAATTCTTATTTTGGTTTCGTTATTTATGCGACCAATTACGCTTAACTCAGCTTTATAAAAGACGGGACGGTTGCTAGAAAAAAATAAAGAAATTAAATTTAACAAGCCCACTACGTGCTTTAATTTCATTAGATATATTCTTGAAAAATCAATGTGTTTAACAACGCTATTTATAATGAACTTTAGAGTATTTCGACACCAAAACTATTAAACATAAACAAGTATACCTGACCGATGTAGAAACTAAAGTAAATATACTTAGTTAAACTGAATGAGTTAACTTTGGATTGCACAATTTATTACGTTACCATTAGTCACAGACAGTCCAAAGTAAGTTCGTACAATGTATTTATAAGATGGATTGAATACTTTGTTTACTTTAATCCGAACTAACACTAAGTGTTAGTTTACCTAACACTACCTAGATCAATGGAGATTTTCAGTCAGATCGTAGTCGCAACAATGTGGAACAGTTAGCTGTATTTGTCAATCATTGTTGATACTGCTGCCTCAATTCTTTAATCTCTTAAAGCGGTCACCATAATAACAAAGTGTAAAAAATTTCTGAAAGTACTCCAACTTAGGATATGCTAGTCAAACCAGCCAGCTCGCTTTCTGAAATTCTTCTTCTAGGCGTAACAAAAGTTTAGAGATTATGAAAATTATTTCCTGGGTCATCATGTACATATTTATTTAACAATCTGACTGACTAAGATGGCCATGACTTTATATTTCTCACGGTACAGCAACAAATTAAATCGATTGGATTTATATCACGATCTACTTCCTTAATATGAAAATTATATTTTTCAACTGTTCCCTGCTCTTATGGTTAATAAACGCTAATATGGTATTTAGAAAAGTACTTTTTATACATAAATATATATTTATTTACATAATGATATTTTTCGTCAACTACCGCTGGGATATAATTAAGATCTAAATCTAATTAAATATTATGTTTTGTTAGTCGGTTTAGTCCCATGTAGCACTTTACTGTTAGGTGTGTGTGTGTGCGTACGTACATACTCACCGTAAATGTAGTATTATATTAATTATCCTATAACATATGAAGCTGGCAAAGTACTTTTTAATTAAATATATTATAAATTAACGGGTTATTAACAATCGTAATATAAATACAACTATCAAAATCGGTTTTTTAAAGTAAGTCTACAAAATTTTCGATACAATTCAATTTGCCACGAATTTAGTCGCGAAATTTTATCATTAATGTGACGTTCATTATACATTCACAACTTGCTAGCTATAATTTGGTGCACTCACGTAATATGAGGCAAGCCTAGCTAACAACCGGTCAATTGCAAATGGGGAAATCGGATGTATATTGAAACAATAACCGGGTAATTAGGAAATTAAAAATGGGAAAATGTTTCCTACTAAATCTCAAGGGTAGTTAAGAGAGAAATGCAATCATCACACACATCAAACATCAATCACTTCTCCTTAGGAAGGAGGTTTTCTCCCTTACCCTTAGTCCTTCACTCTTGCGACACCTCCGGTATGAATAGAGGTGGTGACATTCCGTATTCTTAATCCGTCACCACACGGATGATAACAAAGTTGTATGTCGGCAACTTGAATTTCCTATTCCAAATACCTCTGACAAACACAAGAATCAATACATTATTTATAATATAATGTATAAATAGATGGTTAAATTCGTTTTTCTCATTCGTTGACCGATCTTTGAAAAAGATTTAACTGTATTTACCACCAGCGACAAACTTCATGTATTTCTTTTAAGGCAGTGAATGGTATATCATCTATCAGATTGACATTATGATTATATCAGTGAATAAAGTTGAATGGCCTATGCTGCCAGACTTACGACTTAGGGGGACCGATGACATCAACTTTATGCTCAAATTGGGGTGTTTCGGCCCACGCCTTGTTTTGGCTAACATACAATAGCATTATTTTTTTAGTTTTTACAACTATAATGCTTTGTTATCTTACAATCGGGTTTATAAAAGCCAACTGTTATTGCAGTAGTTACTGTTTTACTCACACACCAAAGAGTTAAATTAAAGTAGCTTGATAAATTAGTTAATTTATTTGATATTTAAAAAGGACTGTTTTATGTTAATTAAGCATTAACAATTTTTTACTCAGTTCATTACTTGAGAATGTTCATTATTAATTATTTCTTATCATAGGTTTGTCTCTTTTAATTTAATTTAAATTAAATAATTAATTTAGCTTTTAAAATCTCAACTGTTTTAGTAATCGTTTAAAACTAAGTAAGGTAACTTAGTTTTAAACGATTACTAAAACAGTGTACGATGATTGAATATATTATGAACAGATGAATTTTGAGTAGTGATCAGTTACAACTATTTATAATTCTAAAATAACACAACTAATTAACTTTTTACTTTCCAAACTAACAAAAATCAATATTTAAACCGAAACAGTAAGCAATATTAATTTCAGAATTGTCTT